CTTCCTGCTGAGCAGGGAGCCCGATGTGGGACTCGATCCCAGGACCCTGGGATCATGACCTGAGCCGAAGGCAGATGCTTAATGACTGAGCCACCAAGGCACCCCTAAAGGTTTTATTTTTAAATAATCTCTACACCCAACATGGGGCTCAAATTCACAATCCTGAGGTCAAGAGTCACATGCTCTACCAACTGAGCCAGCCAAGCACCCCAACCATCTCATTGTTTAATTTAGATTTTTAAAATGCTAAATTTAAATGATATGTGTACATTGTACTATGGAATAATTTTTCCTTTTCTTGTACTGAAATAAGAAAAGTAATTTATGCTACCCCAAATCAAAATAAAAACTAAAAATAAGTTAATATTCATAGAGACTAACACTGCAGATCAGGATTTATATTACAAAGACAAAAATCACATAGTGTTTCAAATTAATATATCTGTCTTTCTCTAATGCTCCTGCTTCACCTGCAGCACATCAGACAAGGTAATAATTTATGATAATCATATGAAAATATACAATTAATATTCATCACCTCTCATTCCTCATCACTTTAGATGATCAGTAATGCAGAGTGAAAATGCTGTCAGATTTCTAATTGCTTTGTAATGGGCTTGAAACAGGGAAATCATTAAAGGCAAACAATCTGTCATTTGTCTGTTACTTTATCTATCACACAAAAAAACTCATTAAAGAAATTGCTAATGAACTACAAAAGACTATACTCATGGTGCTTCTACAGTAGATTAACAAGTATTACTATGAATTGCTTAAAATATTTTAAAAATATGATATTTTTTGGAAATTTATCAGAAAACATCTTCAGTATATTTTTTAAGCCGTATGGTTTCATTATTTTGGCATCTAATCCATCATTGCAGAAGTCCCTTTAGCATCTAAGATTTGTTTTTCATCAGTCTCTAAATAATTCAACTGAAAGGTTTCAAGAAGAGGCTGAAATGCTAAATGTGTTTATCACTAGTAAATTGACACAAGTAAAAAAATAGTACTATAATAACAACCCTAATGCTAAGTAAAGAATATATTTCAAAATTTGATTTTTACTCTCATAATTCCATGGATTTTGAACTGTTGAAGTTGCAATGTTTCATTTATCTTAATGCTATCATTATACAAAAATTATATCCAACTATTAAAATTGACCATAATATTATTAACCTCTGCATAACATTAACTAATTTGAAATTTTGAAGATATTAACCAATACTAAAATGTTTCATAATATTACATCAAATAATTTTGGAGGGGAAAACAAACCATTTCTTTAAATGATCACATCCAATTTTATATGTCTTTATCAGTGCTACCTTTCTATATGAGATACTTAGTATTAAAAAAATCTGTAGGGCCACCTGGGTTGCTCAGTCAGTTAAATGTCTGCCTTCAGCTCAGGTCATGTTCCCAGGGTCCTGGGATCGAGCCCTGCATCGGGCTCCCTGCTCAGCAGGGAGCCTGCTTCTCCCTCTGCCTACTGCTCCCCCTGCTTGTGCTCTCTCTCTCTTTCTGACAAATAAATAAATAAAATCTTTAAAAAAATAAAAATAAGTAAATTAAAAAATCTACAATAATGACACTAATCTAGTTTTAAAAACAAAGAGGTACATAAACAAAAAACCTAGTAATGTTCTGTTGGGTATACAGTCCAGTTGCATTTTATTTTTGAAAAAAATATGAGAGTGATCATGTTTTTCATTATGCTATTGATGAACTGAATCATGAATTTATTTCCTACAACAAAACATAAGAATCTTAGTAATAAAGTCAAACTTTTAAAAACTATGTAGATCTATTCATATTTATTGGAATATACCCAAATTTAAAAACCTAAATGCAACGGCATGTTCAGATGGGTGCCATGGTTGAATATAGGAGTTAATTCCAAGCTAACTTCAAAAGGTTCCATAACACTCTGGAAACATCTTCATTATACTCTCTAATTGACTTAAACAGACTTCATATCAACTGTTTAACACATTTTAACCGACAAATTAACACCCCTTGATCATTCAGATTAACCTTTCTTCTGTGAGTCAATTACATGACTAAAATAAACTTAAAAAAATTCAGTTTAAAAAAATTAAAATGGAGAAGGAAGAATGCTTTAAAAAAAGGATATAGGGGCGCCTGGGTGGCTCAGTCGTTAAGCGTCTGCCTTCAGCTCAGGTCATGATCCCAGGGTCCTGGGAGGCTCAGGTCATGATACCGGGGTCCTGGGACAGAGCCCCAGGACCGGCTCCCTGCTCAGTGGGGAGTCTGCTTCTCCCTCTGCCCCTCCCCCCTTCATGCTCGCACTCTCTCTCTCTGTCAAATAAGTAAATAAAATAAAATTTAAAAAGCTTTAAAAAAAAGAATAGGGGAAATATGTTTGGTATTTATTACGATTACTAAAGAGAAACAGAAAATGTATTATTGACAGTATCTTTAATAGGTTCATGGAAAGATGAAAACATCAGAGAAGAAGGTAGTAAGACAGGAACAAAAATTCTGGGTAAGATAAAGACCTCTAAAAGGTCTGAAACAAGGTTGAAAGAACACTGACATAACTAAAGTTAAAAAACAAGAAAAACACAGCAACAGGTGTGGTGTCAGCAAAAGTATTTACCTCTTTGTCTCTCCTGCTCAGTACACTGCCTTGCTCAAATTCATGAATTTTCACTGATGGTTACCACTGAAAAGACAAGAGAGAGAAGAGATCAAGTGAAGACAACGAGTAAGGGGGAAAACACAAAAATAAAAAACCATTTCTATTTTTTTTGAAGATTTTATTTATATATTTGAGAGAGAGAGCAGGAGCAGTGGGGAGGGGCAGAGGGAGACATCCCACTGGACACAGGGCTCCTTCCCAGGACTCCGGGATCATGACCTGAGCCAGGGGCAGACAGACGCTTAACCGACTGAGCCACCCAGGCGTCCCTGAAAAATCATTTCTAAAAGAGGTGGGTGCCTCAGTCATTAAGCGTCTACCTTCGGCTCATGTCACGATCCTGGGGTCCTGGGGTGGAACATGGCATCGGGCTCCCTGCTCGGCGGGAGGCCTGCTTCTCCCTCTCCCGCTCCCTCTGCTTGTGTTCCCTCTCACTGTGTCTCTCTCTGTCAGATAAATAAACAAAATCTTTAAAAAAAAAATTAAAAAGGTGGTATTGTTCAATAGGGCTGATTCTCAATACCATCTAAAGCTTTATGACAGTATGCCAAAAAAAGAAAAGTTTCTCTAATTCTAACTATTCATCTCTCCCTTCCATTAAAACTTAATACTTCAATATTTAAAACTTAATACTTCCATACATCTCTCTGTATTAGCCTCATTTTGAGGAAAGATTTCAGTCATTCAGGAAATCTACCTTCTTCTATCACCTAAATTAGTAACTGTCACAGCACCTGCATTTCCTCCGGCGTAGCACTTCCTACAGTTACTTTAGTTGCTTCTTTAATTGTCTATTTACCCAGATAAACTCTAAACTTTTACAAGGGCTACAGCCAACTGTCTTGTGTCTCTTGTAACAAAGTGTGGGACACATAGTAGACACTCAATAAGTGGTTTGTAGATTGAATGAATAAGTGAGTGAAGGCTCTATCTGTACTCTGTGTGTATATGCGTGTGTTTATCTCATCAGTAGCTTATTCTTTTTTTTTAAAGATTTTATTTATTTGACAGAGAGAGACAGCGAGAGAGGGAACACAAGCAGGGGGAGTGGGA